AACAGCAGCAACGAGATCACCAGAGCGCGCAGCATCCGAGCGCATCAGGGCCTGCGCGGCGCAAGTGGTTATGGAAGAGCCAGGCAAAACGCTGGGGGCGGATGCCCTCGGGATAGATTGCTATGGAATCCATTTCGGCCCAAGTGGGGAGGTATCCCACTTGAGCCAAAATGGCTACGGAGGAGGAGGAGGAGGAGAAGGAGAAGGTGGAGTAGGAGGAGGAGTAGGAGGAGGAGGAGGAGGAGGAGGAAAGTAGGAGCAGGAGGAAAGTAGGAGGAGGAGGAGCAGCAGCAGCAGAGGTCAGCCGCCGTACCCCGAGAAGGTTTCCTAAGTCCGGGAGCCCCTGCTGGCACACCGCGTCGACGGGAGACGGCTCGTCCTCCGCGTCGCTCGCGCGGGGGGCGACGGGCAGGGCGTGCAGGGACAGTGCAAGAGCAGCGTGGAAGAGCGGTAGCCCCCAAAAGACTCACTAATTACCCACCCTTGCCCAATGCTGGCCCGCCATCATCATCATCATCATCATCATCATCATCATCATCATCATCATCATCATCATCATCATCATCAACAACATTATCATCACCACCACCACCACCATCATCATCATCATCATCATAATCATCATCATCCCCATAATCATCATCACCATAATCATCATCGTCATCATCATGATCATCATCATTATCAACACCTTCGTCATCATCATCATCATCATCATCATCATCATCGTCATCATCACCATCACCATCACCATCACCATCACCATCACCATCACCATCACCATCACCATCACCATCATCATCATCATCATCATCATCATCATCATCATCATCATTAACACACTCATCATGACCATAATCACCATCAACACCATCGTCATCATCATCATCATCATCATCATCATCGTCATCATCACCATCACCATCATCATCATCATCATCATCATCATCATCATCATCATCATCATCATCATCATCAACATAATCATGATACCGGAGAAAAAACCCAATCAGGGCTATAGGGCTAGGGGGCTATAGGGCTATTGAGCTATAGGGCTATAGAGCTATAGGGCTATAGAGTTGTAGGGCTATAAAGGTATTGGGCTATAGGGCTTAGGGCTATAAGGCTATAGGGCACCCCCGGGCACCCCCGGGCCCCCCCCGGCACGCCCCGGCACCCGGGCACCCGGGCACCCGGGCACCCCCGGGCACCCCCCGGGCACTCGGGCCCAGGGCACCCCCCGGCACCACCCGGGCACCCGGGCGTGCAGCGAAGATCGGCGACAAACCTAACCTAACCATATGAATCCGCTGGGACCCCTACAGAAGCAAGCTCTGATTGGGGCATCAGCAGGATCAGCAGGATCAGCATCATCATCATCCTTATCATCATCACCACCACCATCACCACCATCATCATCATCATCATCATCAGCATCATCATCATCATCATCATCATCATCAGCAGCAGCAGCAGCAGCATGATCATCAACATCATCATCATCATCACCATCATCATCACCATAACCATCGTCCTCATCCTCATCATCGTCATCTTCATCGTCGTCATCATCAGCATCATCATCACCGTCAGCATCATCATCATCATCATCATCATCATCATCATCATCATCATCATCATCATCACTGTCATCATCATCAACATCATCGTCATCGTGATTGTCATCGTCACCGCCAGCATCACCATCATCCTAATCATCGGCATCATCGTCGTCAGCATCATCATTCACACCATAGTTATCATCAGCAACACAATCATCATCCTGGTCCGCATCCTTGTCCTCTTCCTCGTCGTCATCTGCACTCTCATTTCTTGCTGCGCTTACTTGCACCTGATCACCCTCATCGTCATTACCATGGGACAGCGCCTTCTTTCCGCGCCAGTGGTCCAGATAGACCTGGCCAATGGCTCCTGCCGAAACGGTGCGAAAATCGCCACCCTCATCATCATCATCATCATCATCATCATCATCATCATCATCATCATCATCATCATCATCATCATCGTCATCATCATCATCATCATTACCATCATTACCATCGTTACCGTCATCGTCATTTTTATCTGTATCATCGCCATGACCATGGTCATCATGTGACAGTTGGGGATCGGCCCCTACGACCACCACGATGCACCTACATTGTATGCCATACCGTCACTGATATTATTGATATTCGAATTGCATCCCTCATCGGTGCCGCGCTGCGGTTGGTCAAACCCCTCTCCCACACGCAATCTCTGCTTCGCACAGAACTCCCGCCATTTACTGTTAATCGGTGTGCAATTGCATTTGATAGTACATGCCAGCACGTGTCGCCAGATCGCCGTCGCTGTAGCTGCAGCAGTGGTGCCCCATTCGAATGGCAACGCACAAACAAGTGTGGGTGCTTACACCCGCGCTCGCACAAACGCCCGCATGAGGAGCACGACATAACACATCATAACACTATGGAGCCCAAGTCTAGAATCAGGCTCGCGTTTTTCAGCTGACACAACCCGCATCATCAACATACCACATAACATACTCTCTAATCAGGTTTTGCCTAGATGGTTCAAATCGTCCTGAAATTTGAAAACGTTTACTCGTGAAATCCCGCTTCCAGGCCATCCGTACGAGGAAACGAAATGCCTACGCCTCCTGCCACTGTATAGATAATCAAATAACTCTTGTGAACCTGGTGGCGAATCTCAAACGGGCATTTCTAGTGTGGGAGGTCCTCGCCGAATCTGCTCCTACTCATCCAAGAGGCTCCACGACTACGTCCGAATGCGTCGATGCCCACATATGCCCTGAGACGACCCCAGGAAGCGAACCACACACACACACACACACACACACACACATGTCAGGACCTCCACCCCGTCGCGACAGGATCGTCTCCTCGTCCGAGCGGGCAGGCCGAATCCGCTCCCAACTTGTGTCCACTCCAGAAGAAAGGAGGAAACGATCTGGGAGTACAAGAGAGAGAAAGAGAAAAGTCAATCTTAGCCAGAGAGTTGACCGAGAGTTTGAAAAACCAAAAGAAGGGAGGAAACGATTTTTCATCTGTAAGGGAAAGAGAAGGAAAGGGATGATGAGGAGGAAGATGAGGAGGAAAAGGCGGACGAGGAGAAGGAGGAGGAAGAGGAGGAGAAAAACGAGGAGGAGGAGGCGGAGGAGGAGCTGGAGGACGAGGAAATAGGAGGAGGAAAAGGAGGAAGGGGATGAGATGGAGAAGGAAAGGGAGGAACAGGAACTACTGGGTCATCACCTGGTCCACTATGGTACTGCGATAGCCCTGAAGGGCTAAGCACATCCAGCGGGGCAATACCCGAGGCCGTCCGATGTTAGGCCGCGCGCTTCACTTGACGCCCCGATACGCCCCGGCCCCTTCAGCAAGAGGAAGAAGTTTGTTGAGTCCGGCCCGGCTTCCAGGCCACCCAGGTTCGAGTCGAGCCCGGCGATGCGCGACGCGCGATCACCTTCGCGCCTTTGCGCCCTCGCGCCGCCACTCCGAAGGCAACCGCCCTGGCCCAGGCCGCGGCGCGCGAAGCGGGATCGTCTTCACGCCCCCGCGGGTGACTTTGATCTCTAAGTCAGTTCAGCGTGTCGCCCCCTCGGTCCTGGCGACACGCTACGCCTTGCAAGCGGACAGCGTGTCGCCCCGCTCCGCGGGGCAGGAGGCCAGGACTTGACGCGCGGACGCTTTGGGACTGGGACGTGGATAGCGCGTCGCGCCGAAGCGTCGCGCCCAAAACTTCCCGACGGTAGCATCGCGCATCCCGCGATGCGTGGTGATCTCGTTGTCGCGCCCTGGCGGGCAACAGTTGGCCAGCCCTGGCCGCGAGGCCGCGGAGCGCGGTCATCTCTGCGCACCCGCGGGTGGCACTGCCGGTCTCGTCGTGATGAGCGGGGCAAGTTCGCCCCTCTCGCGCAACGGGAGACTTGCCCCCGCCTTCCAAGACTGAAGCACGCGCGCCACGGTGCGTGGGCGGGGGGCCGTTCAGCCAAAGGTTTCCAGTGCGCCCTTCCGCTTTGAAGGGGCCGCTCAGCAAAGAGTGCCCAATGCGCCTCTCAACTTTGAAGGGGCCGTTCAGCGTTGGCCTCTCGATGGAAGCCACCTGGCGGCGCCACGTTCACAACGACGAGACTTGGAGGAGGGAGAGCTTGAAGAGGGAACAGAAGAGGATGATGATGACGACGACGGCAACGACGACAATGACGACCTTGACGACAAATGCGAGGACGAACGTGATGAGACGAACAGGCAGAGGATGAGCATGAGGAGACGAACGTGAATTGCGACGTGACTTGTAGGATGGCGGCACTGGTCCCAAACCAATACAGAATGGCGAACGGCAGGAAATCGCCTGGCACCCCCGGCTCTCCTGTGGAGGAGCCAGGGCCCTTGCGTTGACGCGTTCGTGTCCGGTAGATCTCATCATCGCCGGGGACGGCAGGTGCCATTGCCAAGGCGATCGAGAGTCTCGGACTTTTTGCGAAAGACCCTGGGTCCACAGACCCTGGCACAAAGAAAGATCTGGATCACCCAACCTCGCGGGCTGCGCCCCGCGAAGCGCGACGCGCGATCATCTTCGCGCGGTGTCGCGCGGCACGCCGCTGGAAACGGGCAGCTCTCTGGCCCAGACCGCGACGTGCGATGATCTTCGCTCCCCGAGGGCGACCTAGCTGGAAAGATGGGCAGCCTGCGGGGCGGACTGCAGGGGCCGCCCGCCAGTGGAGTCCGAGAGGGGGGCGGCGCCACGACTGGCTGAGGCAGGCCTTCCTGGGAGGCGCTGCGCTGGGAGGGGGAGGGGGCTGCAGCGCTGATGCCTGTAGCTGGAGGGTAAGCATAACCCTGTCGATGTCGGGTGGGGCTCGTGGAAGAGCAGCAGCAGCAGCAGCACCAATGGTCATCGTCGACGTCGTCGTCATCGTCGTCATCGTCGTAGTAGTAGTAGTAGTAGTAGTAGTCGTCGTCGTCGTCGTCGTCGTCGTCGTCATCGTCGTCGTCGTCCTCGTCGTCGTCGTCGTCGTCGTCGTAGTAGTAGTAGTAGTAGTAGTAGTAGTAGTAGTAGTAGTAGTAGTAGTAGTAGTAGTAGTAGTAGTAGTAGTAGTAGTAGTAGTAGTAGTAGTAGTAGTAGTAGTAGTAGTAGTAGTAGGTAGTAGTAGTGGTAGTAGTAGTAGTAGTAGTAGTAGTAGTAGTAGTAGTAGTAGTAGTAGTAGTAGTAGTAAGTAGTAGTAGTAGTAGTAGTAGTAGTAGTAGTAGTAGTAGTAGTAGTAGTAGTAGTAGTAGTTAGTAGTAGTTAGTAGTAGTAGTAGTAGTAGTAGTAGTAGTAGTAGTAGTAGTAGTAGTAGTAGTAGTAGTAGTAGTAAGTAGTAGTAGTATTCAGTAGTAGTAGTAGTAGTAGTTGTAGTGGTGTATAGTAGAGTAGTAGTAGTAGTATTAATAGTATTCGTATAGTAATAGTAGTCGTAGTCGTATAGGTAGTGATAGTCATGTGCAGCATAGTAGTAGTCGTTAGTGTAGTAGTAGAGTATTAGTAGGAGTAGTAAGTAAGTAAGAGAAGAAATAGGTAGTCGTAGTAGAAGTAATTCGTAGTCGTAGTACAGTCGGTAGCAGCAGCACAGCAGTAGTGTAGTAGTATTAAGTTAGTAGTAGTAGTAGTCGTAGTCGTAGTAGTGGTAGTATTGTAGGATTAGGAGTCGGGTATTAGTAGTAGTAGTCAGTAGTTAGTATAGTTGTATTAGTAGTCTCGTAGCAGTAGTGTATAGTATAGTATAGTTCTTAGGTAGTATTACTAGTGTAGTAGTGGTGGCGAGTCGTAGTGGTAGTTCGCCAACACGTAGTAAGTCAGTAGTCGTCATAGATAGTATGTGCAGTGTACAGTCGTAGTGGTATTAAGGTAGTACATCGTGTAGTAGTATAGCGTAGAGTAATAGTATTTGTAGTGTCGTAGTAGTAGTAGTAGTAGTAAGAGTAGTAAGTAGTAGTCGTAGTAGTCGTGGTAGTAGTAGTAGTAGTAGTCGTAGTCGTAGTAGTAGTAGTAGTAGTAGTAGTAGTAGTAGTAGTAGTAGTAGTAGTAGTAGTAGTAGAGTAGTAGTATTAGTAGTAGTAGTAGTAGTAGTAGTAGTAGTAGTAGTAGTAGTAGTAGTAGTAGTAGTAGTAGTAGTAGTAGTAGTAGTAGTAGTAAGTAGTAAGTAGTACGTAGTAAGTAGTAGTAGTAGTAGTAGTAGTAGTAGTAGTAGTAGTAGTAGTAGTAGTAGTAGTAGTAGTAGTAGTAGTAGTAGTAGTAGTAGTAGTAGTCGTAGTAGTAGTAGTAGGCAGTAGGCAGGCTCAGTAGCATAGCGTAGCCGCGTATTGTAGTAGTAGTAGTATGTAGTAGTAGTGTAGTATAGTAGTAGTCGTAGTCGTAGTATTCGTAGTCGTAGTAGTAAGTAGGTCGTAGCGTCGTAAGCAGCAGCAGCAGCAGCGTAAGTATTAGTAACCATTGTATCAGTAGTAGTAGTGTAGTAGTATAGTAGTAGTAGTATTAGTAGTAGGAGTAATTAGTAGTGTTATAATCGTAAGTAGTTAGTAATTAGTAGCGTCGTCGGTCGTCGTAGTAGTCGTAGTCGTAGTCGTAGTACGTCCCGTTGGAATTAGGATAGTAATTATTATAGTATAGTAGTATAGTAGTAGTAGTAGTAGTAGTAGTAGTAGTAATAGTAGTAGTAGTAGTAGTAGTAGTAGTAGTAGTAGTAGTAGTAGTAGTAGTAGTAGTAGTAATCGTGGTAGTCGTACTTGTAGCGGTCGCACTAGCAGTAGCAGGAGCAGTCGTGATAGTAGTCGCCGTAGCAATGGCAGTCGTACTGGAGGTGCAAGCAACAGTTCAAGTATACAGACACGTAAAAGTAAAAGGAGGAGGAAGAGGAGGAGGAGGACACGGTGGAGTCGAAGGTGCCCAAGTGTTCCTCATCTCCATAGATCCCAGAGGCCCCAACGGCCCACAAATGCCAGAAATGACGAAATCCCGCGGCCCCTTTGTGGGGCCATCAGGCTGCGCGGATTAGGCTTGCTACTTCCGTGCGCCAATTCCAGACCGCGAGCCCCCGAGGCCACGTTCCCTCGCAAATTACGGCGTAATTGCGGCCTCGAGCACACAATCCTTCGTAAAGTATTCAATAGTTGCGTCCTCGAAGCCATAAGCTCTGATACATTCTACAATACGTACGTCACCGAAACCGAAGCCACGATCCCCCCGTCAAATGCCAATGATCGCGGCCTCGAGGCCACGATCCTTTTTGCAAACTAACTGCGCTCGCGTCCCCGAGGCTACGATCCCTAATAAATTAACTACGCGACGTTCGCGTCCCAACGTCACGATCGTCGTCAGATTTCGAGGGATGTTTTTCAATGTTACAGTGCAGGCCGTAACGTACGATACTGGCCCTCGCGTGAAGTCCTGACATTGCTTCACGGCGGCGCCCTCGCATCCCAACTTAGCTCTGGTATGCCC